AAAAGATAGCATACTGACAGAATTACATTCTGAATTACATTCTGAATGAAGCATTACTGTGAGGTGCCTGTCCTTCTACTGTAGCATTAAATGTGTGAATGTACAAAAGCACAATACAAAGTATTCTTCATGGCATTTCTTTGAAGTCAGTTTTATTCGTATGGATTTTGACAATCTTGAGGTGGTGTTAAATATCCAGCAAGGATATTTAAGGAATGACAGCAGCTAACATAGAGAACTGCTGTATAGAGATCAGGTATCAGATACTTTAAACATGTACAAAGCACAGATAGGCTCCAGTGCTGCAGACAGGTGTGCATTTCCACCATCTCACACACACAAGAGCTGGGTCATCTCAATAGGGTTATTCACCTTTCAGTAGTAAAAAATACCCATTTGGTCACAGTTGGTACAAACACCAAACCAAAGAGCTCCTGGCCACTCTGTGTGTTATTTCTTATTACAGGTTGCCCAGAGAGGCTGTTGATGCCCCATCCCTGGAGGTGTTCAAGGCCAGATTGGATGGGGCCCTGGGCAGCCTGGTCTAGCATTAGGTGGGATGGTTGGTGGCCCTGCATGTGGCAGGGGGTTGGAGATTCATGATCCTTGAGGTCCCTTCCAACCCTGGCAATTTTCTGTGATTCTGTGATCACTAACACAGATTTCTGCACTGCAGCCCAAGAGCAGCAGCAGAAGGCCCTTGGGGACAAGCCTTGGTGCTGTGCCTGCAGTCCTGCCCTGGTGGTCACCATGAGCAGCAGCAGAACCAGTGGGTGCCCAACCCACTGGCTGTGTGGCTCTTGCTGATGGCTGTCTGTCAGTGCCCAGAATGGTTGTAAATTATCAGGGTTACAGTGGTGAAAAATGGAAGCCAGATGCTTGTGAGCATCACAATCCCAAAAATACGGACGGGACCAGAGTTGGAGTCATCTCATGAATTACAAGGGCAGATGCTGCGCATGCAAAACTGCTGTCCTGTGCTCAAGAGAGGCAGGGATAATGGTTTCCTTAAGTTATTAAGGGAGCTTTCCAATGTGCCTCTTGTGGAGGCAGAAGGCTCCTTTTCTGCATGACACATTCCATTCGGGTTAGTTAAGTCAACAGCCGTAATCAGATGTTTTGGTGATGTTTGGAAAGAATTTCTGTGCCTGCTGCTCAGGTCAATTTTATTTAAAAGCATTTATTGAAATGCTGGCCACCCTGGAGAGAGCTGGCTGAGAATGGCTGCTGGTTCAGGAGAGAGCAGTGCATAGCTATGTCTACCTGCTCCTGAGGAGCACTTGCAGCACTGTTAGCCATTGGCTCCTCCTAGAGAAGCTGTTGGAGTTTGGAGTGGAGGAGCAGGCGGCGGGATGCTCTGAGAAGTGCCTGAACGGTCACAGCCAGCAGGTGATGATGTCAGGAGATCACGCCATCCGTTGCCATGGGTTCTTGGAACACAACACATGCAGTAAAGCTTCAGGCCTGCTGGCCGTTGGGAGTTGTGCTGGTAAGCCTTGAAGGATGCCTGTGCTTGAGCTCCCCAGCAAGAGAAAGGCAGGAAGGTCCTGCCTCAACTGGGAGCCTCCCTCAAAAAATCCCAGTCTGGATGAAATGATGAGGCTGAGGAGGAAGAGGAAAGTGAGCCGACAGCATGGCACACGTGTTTGGCAGCCTCCAGCCAAATGTCCACAGCTGGATGAAACTGTAAGGCTGGTGAGGAAGAGGAAATTAAGCCAAGACAATGTCATCCTTGTTTGGCAACCTCCAGCAAAACATCTGAAGCTGGAGGAAACGCTGAGATGGAGCAGAAAGAGGAAATTAGACTCAGGAGATGTCAACCTTGCTGGGCAACCTCTAGCAAAACATCTTAGACTGGAGGAAATGATGAGGATAAGGAGGAAGAGGAAAGGAATGGAAGAAGATGACATCCAGATGCAACCTCCTGTAAAAAGACGAAAGCTGAATTGAAGAACGAGGTTTGAGAGAAAGAGAAAATGAAACCCAGGACTGAACAGCTGGAAGGGGAACCTTTGAACTTTGCACAGGGCCCTTGTAGCTGCACATATATAGCTTATAGCTCATATATAGAGTGAGATATAATATATTTGAGAGAAATATATAGAGAGATATAATATATATTTGAATTTAATATAAGTTACTAACATAAGTCAATAAATGTTAATATGTTATATTTGAACTGAAGTTCTATGATCTGTTGATGGGAGAATTTGTCTTTTGCTAACAGTGCTGTTTGCTGTGTCAGCAATCTGGTGGTATTGCTGTGGCCAGGCAGCTGCTCTGGTCACTACTACCTGTGTAGCAATGGATGTTTGCCCTGATTTGAGAGCTGTTGGTCCTTTTGAGGCCTTTATGAATTTCTTGGGGCCATTGCAGTACGAATGTGCAGGAACAACCTGCAAATGTGTCTGATCACATCTTTCCCCATGCTGTAGAATACCAAACCAAGGGATTGATGGGTAGAAGCGTGGGGATCCATTCTGAGACCAAGCTTTTTTATTTCAGTCAGCCATCAGACAGCTGTGAGGCTGCTAACATCCATGCAGAACAGCACTTTTTACTGTCACTGCTGAAATGCAGCACCTTTAAAGCAGGCATCCCAAAGGCAGGAGGAAGTTGTCTGCAGAGCACAGGGAGCTGTGCCAGGTGCCTCCCATCCGGCTGTTGCGAGGGGTGCTCCGTGGTGCCCACCTCCCTCCCACGATGGGGGCCAGAAGCACCAAAGGAGCAGGGGGAGGAGCATTCAGAGGGCAGCTCTGCTTGTGCAAACTGCAGGCAGAGACCCCTGTGGGGCTTCAGATCTGCTCAACCCCTCACGAGGCCACAAGGCAGTGGGTTGGAAAGCAGCTGGGAGTGCAAAGAAATCAGCTAGAGGGTCTGTACTTGGGCCAAGTGCACGAAGCAGCACATGGATTTCTTGAGCTTTGTCTCAGAAGACATATTGAGCTAACGCAGCTAAAGCCAACCTTTCATAGAATTTTTCCACTAATGCCAGCCAGGTAAGGGCTGCTCAGGAGCAAAGAAGGAGTTGTAGAGCTGCTTCCCTTTCTTTCTTTCCCAATATACCTTCAGCCTTACTTGTAAGGAACGGAAACATTGCTTAAACCTTGCACCTTACTATGCTGCAAATCTGCGGTGCAGCAGAAAAGCACTGGGCTGGCAGCCACTGCAAGGAACGTGGTGTGTCCCATGGGCTTCTGCTAACTGCCACTGCTGGAGGAGCTGCTGGCACCACCCAAGAAAAACAGCATTTGGGAATAATTCCAGTGTAAATCGGGGAGCTGATGAAATACTTCTAAACACATCTGGATCAGAGCACAGTTACCAGGCGAGCTGTGCAAATGCTTTGGGAGTTATTTTAACAGCAAAGACCTGAAGAAATGAAACTAAAACTGTAAGAATCCCCCACTTTGGTGTTGGTATTCAGAACTTGCCTTTGGATGTTAGGTTTAGGTTGGATATGAGGAATGCAGGGGGAGAGAGGGAGAAGAAAGTTTACATGTTTGAGTCAACCAGCAACGATCTGGTCAATTTCCTACTGGTCAATTGGTGGAACATCCTAGAGACAAGTATTCTGGGAAAGAATACAGTCAATGCTCTTCCACGTATTTTAGATACTTTTTCTCACCCCAAAAACCATACAGTGTGAGCCATACCTGTTCATATATATATGTCATAAATACCTTACCTCAAAATAATCTTATGTTTAAGATGAGGACATGCTTGCTTGTCATTTCAGAATGCATTGCAGTAGCAGTTCTGTTGTTGAGGATCTATGTGAATAAACCAACAAAAATTGACATTCTCTGATATGCACAAAGAGATGTCAGCTCCTGAATGAAAATAAGCAGTGGCACTACCCAATCCAACAGATGTATCATGCAAATGGGAACAGATTTCTAAGATTTGCACTTGGTATCCAGTTACAAGTGACAGTGTTTTTGAACTGTGCTCTGCAAAAAGCGAAGTGTATGGGTGATGAACATCAGCAATGGCAACAGGGACAGACTGTTGGAAAATAGTGTTTTGTAGCTGAGAATTTGCTCTATTAAATAATGCCTTTGTGCTCTTTTGATCTGTTGCAGTTTCTATGGAAATAAATAGGAGTCATTATTTTTGGAGCAACCTATTGGTGGTATGTGGACGTTGGACTCGATCATGTTAGAAGTCTTTTCCTTAATGACTGAGTGATTCTATTCAAGCTGTATGCATGCACCAGTTGATGGTAAAAGCTTTACTAACCATAAGCATGTCTGCTGCTTCTCTCACTCCTTATTGCTCATTTCATCTAAGCAGGAGCTTCTTGAGCTGTCAGACTCTACAAAAGCAGACTGCAGACTCTGTCAACTTCTAGCTTTGTCAATCACAGCTGACAAGATTCCAGCTATCTCCAGTGATCTGCCTCAGCCCCATGAATTAAACAGAAACACTCTGGCTGAAATTGCATCCAATTCTGCTTTGCACCTAAGCTTCACCAAGGTAGGTCAACATCTGTTGTCCACTGCTATATTTCTGCTTTGGCAACAGAACAAGTGAGTGTGACACTGATCTGGATGGACAGCCCCACAGCTCCTATTACAGGATCCAAAATGGACCATTGCTCTTTTATTTATATTATTTTACTCCATCTAATACATTGTTTTAGAATATAATATGAACTTCCACTTACTAGTTTCAATATTCTGATCTTTCTCCCTCCCTCCTCGTTCTCTTCCTGCCTGCTGCATTTTTCAATAGCTTATTACCTCCCATAGAAACCACTGTCCTGGATTCAAACCACACCACTAACAGCCATCTCAAGTCACAGCACTAGCCAAGCCCTCAGTGCTATGTCAGATGATTGTGTTACTGAATTGACCTGAAATATGTTTTGGTCTGTCAGCTGCCCTCTTGTGTTCTATTCCAAAATACATTTGACGTCCTGGGCTTTGAGAAGCAGGCATTAAAACACTGACAGGCTTTGGAATAACGGAACAAGCCATTAAGTGTTGATGCTTTTATTTAAATTGCTCCTGACACACAGCTACTAATTAAAAATTGGAAGAATATGCTAGGTGATTGGGGATATCTGTGCACACAGGCAGAATTGCAGTTTCCCTCTCAAGATCTGACTCTGTTCTATCTTGGCACTGTCGTACATGGTGAGATTATGTATTTTTAACACTTCTTCAACAGTGAAAAGTACTATTATTTCAGAAAAAATGCTCTGTGTCCCCATGACTTTGGACGGTGGTGTTGTTTAAAACAGACTGGAAACAATGTAGTCCGTATGAGCACCATCTATTAGCCCAGCTCCATTGTTATGAACAAACCAGCAAGGGATATCAATGCCATGCTCAGGATCTCTTCTGTAATCCTTCTGCCAGCCCCTGCAAGACAAAATACAGCCACAGAAGTATCAAAGCAGAAAATACGAACTGGCAAAATAAACTTTTCTTTGTCTTTTCTAAGGATTTGATTTTTTTTTCTTTTTTTTTTTTTTTACCTTGTTACTATCAGTTCTTTGTTTTTAAATATCATTGTGGCATCTGGTTTCTTGGGATCAGATCCAGGATGAATTTCAAGTATGGTAAAGTCAATGGGGTGGAAAAACTGTCCTAAAAATAGAAGCCAAAATTAACATTTCAAGTATGTTGCAGATACTGAAACAGAAACAAAATAAACAAAACCCCCAGAATGTCCACATTCCCAACTGTTTACCAAGTTCCCTCAGGGTTCTGAATGCACAAGCAAACACCAAGTTTTGTGCAAAGTTGAATGTATGACTACAATATTATTTACTTTGTAAAAACTGGAATTCTCAGCATATCATCTGGATGTCATTTCCACCTTCTGAGTGTAAGGTAAAATTGGTCTTTTTTAGAGTATAAATAGAGTATTTTCTAACACATAACATATTTTTCAGCAGAGAATGCACACCACAAATCCCACTACACTGCAGAAAAAGGGATTCAATGAAGTCACAAGTTTCATCCCTCGTTTACCAACTTTACTTTCTTCTAGAGTAATGTTATCTAACATGAAAAAAATTCTAGACAATACAGGGCATTCCCTGATTTTCATATATGATAGTCAATCAAGATACACCTTAGTAGTTTATTTTCTTACAAGGGATGCACTAACTGTGGTTTGGCACATTTTAACTGATCAGCAAACACTACTTTCTCAGAGTGCTTATATTTAGTAGAAAATGGATAACCTGAAGGAAAAAAACAATCCATCCACGAGACTGGAGGATTGATGTGATCATTATTTAAAAAATCTGTGGATGGACTTAGCAAGGTAGAGCCTTGAAGACATCCTTGAGAACAACAGATGTTAGTGTTTGCAGCAGCAGCAGAGGGATTTAAGAAAAGATCATGCGCAAAGCCTGAGCCCAGAATATTTTTTCAGAAATCTTAATATGGTTAATCAACATAGTCTCAATTTTCTCCCCTTTCTCAGTTCAGAAAGGCCAAGTACAAGGTGGTGTCTGCAAATCATGTAGCCTCAAAGAAAGAAAACGTTCACAATGCTAAAAGAATTCATACCTAATAATCCGTGTGTCTGTTCAGACAGTTTATGACTTTCCAATGTATACAGTCCTAAGAAATCCTTGTGCAGAGGATGTTTCTTCCATACTTGGTGCAAAACTATAACAAATGATGCTCCGCTGCCCATTGAGAGCACCAGACTTTTTTTCTTGTTAATTATCAAAGTTAAACTGAGGAGAGAAAAAATCACTTAGGGCATTGAGCTTCCCAGAGTTAGCAGCTATCATAGCAAAACTGACAAATAAAACATGTCCCAACAAACAAGCATGGCTTTATAAATTATTTCCTTGATGTGTTTTAAAATTAAGGTATTTTTTGAGGTCTATGTGAATGTGTGTGTGTTCATGGGCAGTTCAAGACTCAGACTACATTACATCTGTAAAAGCCTTTTACAGAAAGATGTTTCTATCAAAACTCTTCCTATAACAGCACAATTAATCACAGATAGGTTAGTGAGATTTAGTGTAGCACCTCGTGCTCAGTAATAAAGATGGTATTAATAAAGCCATCACTTTCTTGCCTGGATGCTACCCGAGATCTTTTCCCCTTTGTTCTACAGAAAAAACAACTCCTGAAATACCTAGGTCAGCACCAGGATAAGGAAGATTTGCTTCTCATTATGATAACTGTATCATCAAATTAGTTGCCATAGGAAAAAAAAAGTATCTTGTATAAATCACAGTATTGCTGTAGTGCTCTTTCTGTTTCAGTGTCATGCTTTGAGAAACACAGTGTAAATGAAAAGGAGGAGGAGGTATTGCTGTTCTTTTTCTAAGCTTTCCTCTGCACGAATGAAAACAATTCTGTAACAGATAAATCTCATGAGATATATCCCTGCTGACAGCACAAAATGTACCTATCCTATAAATATCACAATTTCCATATCTTAAAATGGAAATCTGTTGCTAAGCATTATTATTCCTCTTCTTGATATCACAACTAAAATTATTTCTTCAGTGTTTGCTGAAGTCACCATTGTGTTAAGCACAATATAAAATGTGATTTTACCTTGGTCATACCAATGGAATGTCAGTGCAAATTCTGCACTTACCTATTCCAAGCAGAGAAAATTAGGAACACAATAATTTGTCAGTTACATAACAAAGTAGAGAGCAGAATTCAACACGATTTGGATCAGGGTGAGTTTCTTTGCATAATCAGGCAACATATCTTAAAAGCACACTTTTTATCAACCCTCCCAAAAAAGTAAAAAGTAACCCAGGAATTTGATATATTCTTTCTGCAAACATTACCTTTCTTGTTGAAATGTGACCGAGTCAAGCCAGGTGAAAGTTGTCTTTCCAGTCTCTTTCTGAAGAGTGATCTTTTCAGGAGTTACTGTCACTTTTAAATCCAGGTGCTTGTTTGCAATGCCAAGTTTTCCAAAATATGTATTTTGGATCTTTGCATCATTATTTACTTTCTTGTCACCAATGAGTTCTCCATTTACTGTGATGCCTAATATCAAAAGGAAACATCAAATACTGTTTTATAGATAATCAGCTGAGGTCAAGAAGTGTTGAGGTAGTTTTATCTGCAGTTCAACCAAACAAATCCAAATTGAAAAATAGTTCAGAATTACTTAAGCATGTTTGTGCAAAAGTACAGTAAGGGAATACAGCTGTGGAGGCTGTTCTGTAGGTATCTGCAATGACAACCATTATTTTATTGATAAAAATTCAGTATTTCCTGGACCACAAAAGTTCTGTGACAGGCACAAATAGCTCATCTCTTTTCCAGATACTCCATGAAATGGCAAACTGAGGATTATTTTATAGCCTCTACTTACCGAGACAAATAAAATCTCTCAAATCCCACAGAGTTTTCAAACAATTAAAAGATCATTTAATTCGAGGAGGTGAAAACAGTCATGGTAACAGCATCCTATCACATTGATAGGAACTCCTGTTAACTTTGCAGAAAAAATAATTCATGCAGTATAAAAAGAGAGAAGTAGCCTTTAAAAATAAGATTTTTCAATATAAGTATTTTGATATGCTGCATTTTAAAGTGATCAACTCACCTGTAACTGGATCATTTATCAATCTTAACACAGCACCTGGGTTTTCATTAATATTGAAACAAATGGCGTCTTGTTTTTGTGGCACTGATATAATGAAGTGTGGATCTCCATCAACTGCAAAGGCAAGGCACAGGTATTTGTATAGTGATGCACAAGTTCAAAGTTCCACATGAACACTTAAAATTGTGGTAGTGGATCTGCTGATAGTGGAATCCAGCAGGAACTGGCTCCTGCACGAGCTATATGCCCAGCTTAGTCCAGCCCATCTGTCAAATGGAGTGGGGATGTCCCAGAGAAACTGCTACCATATCTCAAAAGTGAACTACAACCTTCTTCCCCATAACTTTCCAGGTGTGTGCCATTTATCCTGTCACCCCTGATCACTGCAAAATTTGGTACACGGACTACAGGATCAGAATGGGCACCTATGAGTGCTTATCTTTGAGGATGAAATTATTAATGAGGACAGGAAGGGTAGAGAATAGACAGCCACCATCACAAAGCCTAGCAGGTGGGAAGAGGACTAAGAAAATGACCATACACAATCACAGTGACTCATCTATTTTAAAAAGTTCAAGGAATTTAAAGTAAATAGAAGTACAAGTCCTCTGAGAGGAAAAAGAAAGGTTGTTTTTGTGGAAATAAATTATCTAAAAAGTCTGAGAATTGTGCTATTTAAACACCCCTTATGTTTTCCTTTGAAATAGAAACAATTAAAACTACTTACCACTAGTATGCCATGTAGGGCTTGATGCATGTACATAGTGTACTGGTGAAGCTGCAGAGAGCAGAAAAATAACTGTTAGAGAAACATCAAAATGGAATATTTATGCACTATATGCAAAGTACATGTAAAATGTCAGGAAGTTAACTTGCTAGGTAAACTGCTAGTGTCACCCTAGTTTTTAAACTAAATGGAATGACAGTGTGTGTCTTTTAAACAAGCAAAGCTGTAGGATTTATTTTGTAATCTAAATTGCTTTCAGTGTTTACACAAATTCCTAGTGATGTAGCCATAAGAAGGCAAATATCTCAGATTTAAGGATTACACTGCCTACCAACAAGTCTAGGTAGAAATGCAACAGCACCAGCCATTTAAAACTTCTGAGGTTTTGTCATTTGTTTTCAGTGGAATTAATGTGAAGCTTTCCAAATAACTCCAGAAAATTGTAAAGGGAGGGAGGGAAATATTGAGAGAGATTGAAACTAATCTGAGCAAAATTTTAAATTCAACTCTCCCATTTCCAGCACTGCCCAACCAGCAATCCAAAGGATCAGTGGATATCTCAGTCTCTTCAATAAAACTATCTTCTTCATATAAGTAACTGAATGATTTAGCCAGAGATGCTGACATCACACTCTCTTGCTTTACATAATTCCTAAAGAGATGCAGACTCAACTCCATCCTCTGTATCTGAGAAAAAAATGTTGTTTTGATGAAATGGCATTTAATCCCTAACAGCTATTTCACTGAAAAAAAATCAGATCTGGTCTTGTTCAGTCCTTCTGGTTTTAGCATAGTGAGGAAAAACTGGTAGTATTTGTTACAATACAGTTGTAAACTCAGACAAGGCAGTTTCCATCCTTCCAGTAATTTCATTTGGCTGAATCATTTCCTTCGACAGATGCTTCTTCATTTAGAAATTCTCACTCATGACTTACCCTGTGCTACTGGGGCAGCCTGAGCTGTGAATGAAACAAAAAATATTTTAGAGGCTAGAAAGAATAAAAGAAAATCTCTCCCACTGCCCTCCCACCACCAAAACCAACTCCAAAATCTTGTAGCTATGTATACATTTCTTAGCACTTCTAAAAATGAAAAACAGTCACAAGAGTTTATTTGGGTTTTGTACTGCAACAAAACAAACTGTGAATTGATTCAACACAGTGTCATGGACAGAAAGCACAGTGCACTTTACACCAAAACTACTACTTCTCTAAAGGTCCTGTAAGGGATTTGTAAGGGGCTGGGGAGATCTGCTCCTTTTCTAATTCCTTTGTGTTTTGTTCCAAACTCTAATATGTGATGTCAGTAAGATTTATCCACCCACTCCCACATATTTGCTGTCTTCTTTATTTGAAATTACAGAGCAGTGTTTGTAGATGGGTATTTGTGCTGAAGAAGCAGCATTCACAGCAACACTGAAGGCATCTCTGTGAGGAGACTTGTCTACACACCAGTACCTGCGAGCCAACAGTGCTAGCCCTGGAAAGCAGCATAGTTGTACTGGGCCTGAAGTTCATGATGGTGGGACACTGCAATTCTGAGGATCCACACTGAAAGCAGTATTCACAAAATTTTCAATCCCAAATGTTTTTAATCTAATTATAATAGTCTTAATCTTTGATGCAATGTTTTCATACAATTCTTGGGGATTAAATCAAGTGATGCAGGAAATCTAACTCTAATAGTTAAAAAATGACAGGTGAATTTAATAACAAATGTACGTACCTTCAGCTGGTATCATGAGTAGATACGTAAAAGGAAGAAAAAGAGAAAATTACAGTTTCAGTTGTACAATTAAACATTCAAAAAAACCCCAAAAACCTGTTGTTGAATTGTCAGATTCAATTATACATCTTCAGTATTTTATAATAGTTACGAATCTAGACTCCTGTAGTGTAAAAATTATGTTCTTTTTCTACAAGGTGGTAGTGCTCTGAGTAGTTCTACTATCACTCTGTATAACACCTACACACACAGAGGATTTTCTTGGAAAGAGATTCAGAAAAGGAGCTCTGAGACACTCAGGTCACTCTGAATGCCTGCCACATCTGCTAGATGCTCTTATGTTTTACATCTCATAGTGTCCACCTGTAAACTACAAAATCATTATGCTGCATAATGTCTTGAATGCTAAATTAATTATGAAACGTTTTTATGTCAGTATTCCATGATGATATTTCTGAAAAAATAATGCAAGAAATTTTATCAGCAGAATGCCTGTAGAATTATTTCATATTGTAGGGCACCTAGCAATTAAGTGGTTGCAAGGTTTATTCCACTTGAAAGAAACTCTTACTGATTACCAGAAAGCATTTCTGTTATGTTAAATTACCTTAAAATCAGTCCTGGTTATCATGTCCAATTCAGGAGGTAAGAATGTTTTTCATACAAAAGCCAGCAAACAGACTAGAACTAGGAAGTAGGACAAAACTAGGGGCACTAAGCTTAAAGTTTCAGGGAAAAAAAAACAATAGATGTAGAGAGATGAGACTGGAGAGCCTCACAGGAGGCTTGTCAGATCTGTGGAGTTAGGAAGAGTTGAGAATGGCTCAAACAACACATATATGATGACAGAGTGGCTTTGGGGTGCACTGAGAAGTTACAATTTGTCTCACTTTGCTCTTACTAAAGTGGAATAAAGTCATTCCATTTCACGTAAACTAAGCAAAGAGGATGAATTGCATGAAAATACAATGATTTACTGAGCAAGGAGTTAATAATTAGCCAAAGTATTAAAGGAAATGAGAATAAATGGTGCACTTTCAATACTAATTATTTTTCTTTCTGCAACATATATGAATACCATGTTTTACAGGTATTATCATCTCTGATCTATCCTGCACGAGGAAGATCTCCTGCCAATATTCCCTTTTCACATAGAAAGATGCTCCTACATTTACTTTTAAGAAGTACATAAACAATTAAGGAGAAAGTGATGTGAACAAAATTAAATATGAGGTAAGAAATTCTATCTTCTTGTGATGTAATATTTTATATATTAATTTTAAATACACTGATTTTAAATTTATAATATTTTCCCTGTATGAACTGGTAGTGAAGGACAGTTTGATAGAAATGAGCTTTAGAAGGAAAAATAATTTTGCATAAACCATACATATGCAAGGCATATTAAACAAGGCATGTATTTTTCCAATATGTGTTTGAAACTGTGCTCACACGAGTCTTTCTTTAGATGAACATGAAAGCAACTTTGATAACTGTGAAAATGTCTGTACCTTCAGTAGGTTTATCAGCAATCGCTGCTTGATTTTCGTCTTCTTCTGGCTTTGTTACCACCATGGACGTCAGTGGTGTCACAAATTTGTATTTTAGTGATAGATCCAGGGCTTCAGCTGTAAGATTCTCCTTTTCTTCTCCCGTAGCTGAAATGCTGAATACAGGGAGAGACTCCTAGCACCAATGATTGCCAAATTACCAGTTGAACTTTGAATTAAGTACTTTTTTTTTAAAGTGAAGTAATCTCTCTGCAGCTAAAAAGACAAAACTGTGTTTTCCATTAGTGATAACTTAAAACTGCTTAATTTGCTAACTGTAAAACAAATGCTGAGGTTGTGGAGATTTTCCTTACTGTTCTTTATGCTTTCCTATTGGCATCTCGGTGTGATGATGAGCAAGAACAAGGAAATAGATCTGAATCCCAGCTTTACATCCTAGAGGCTGGACCAGTCACACAACTTAATGGTTTCACTGAACATGTGATTCTTGGTATAATTACCGTTTTTCCAGGAGTTGTTCAATGGTGAGATAAGCCCAAAGCCTTTCAATGAAATCTCCAAATATATATTCCTGTTCTTGGAAAGCTTTAGCTGTTTGCTCCTTATCTTGTTGTGAAGTAAATGATAGGGCATCATTAGCCTGTTAGGAATAAGGAAAATAAGCCAGGGACTCCCAGAATTCTCAAATCAAAATCAAAACCTTAACACCTGAAAATCTTAATAAATTGAAAAACATTGTGGTCCAACAAAGAACTTGCCCAGGAACTTTTAAGCTTCTGTAAAGCTCAGTAGTGTGTGCTATGAGACATAATGCACTTTTCAAATTCAAATGGCATTTGGTTAATTAGAATTTGACTACTCTGGATTTAAAGAATTTTGATTATGATTCTTATAACATATAGCAACTTGTTTAATATGAAGATTACTGCCTACGAGAATTTGAACATTTGGCTCCTGAAAGAAGTGGGTAGGATATTTAGAGAGTAAAGAAAACAAAATAAGTTAGCAAAGTTTATTCAGTCACATTGCACAAAGTTGTTCTGGATTGACCTAGGTATAACTGACAGACAAGCAACTTGCCTAAGGAACCTGTAAAAGCAATGCCTTTGGTGCACTTACTTTCTCACATATGCAGCAATACATGTTCTCACTGAGGTGAAGACATGCATGTGACTATTTTAAATTTTGCCACCTTTGAACACGGGTACTTTGCATAGCAAGAAAATAGTCAAAGAAATCCATACTTACACCTTCACCTGTCACATCTACTGTCAAACTGTTTTGGTTGATGTCTCTAAGGCGCCCAGCCACCACAATCTCAGACCCATCATAGAAATGCTTAAAGCTGTTTTTAGTTACGTCTGCAATTTCATTTTCTGGGTAGTTTAATTCCACATCCATTAGCATAGGATTGGACACCTCATCATAAAAACCCTGTAGGATAAAAAGAAAAATATTTAACCACCATTTTTTCTTTAATTCATATGTAGATCTGTAACCAGTGCTATTTCAGCAGTGAAAATTTAGAAAGTATTTTAGAAGAATTATGTAAATATTCTCAAAGTACAATGCCTAAAAATCTACAAGTAAGGCAAATGAGGAAGGACACACAAACTTTTTGGTCTCACTAAGACAGAGGGAAAATACCCAAGAGAGACTGAAATGATAACACGAGCCAAGAAGATGAGACATTTTGACCAACCTTGTAATTAAATCCAGTATACAACATTTTGGCCAGTCTTTCCAATAGATGCTATTTCCACGTCTTATCTATCACATCTCTTATCTAAAAGCCAAAAATTCAATTCCGTGCTACATTCACATATTTTCATGTCATATAGAACCAAGAACATTTCAGAAGTATGGTAAAATAAGTTAGCTTGCAAAAAGTCCCTAACTGCAGAATATCTAGAGCCTTTAATCTCTGTTGGCCTTCTCTTCTTTTGACACAATCTGTGAGATATGGAAGATAAAGTGACTGCAGCAATTTTGCTTATATAATGTGGCACACACCAAGGTGTCCTTCAGAACCATGTCTGTCTTGTTTCAGCTGTGCCAAGTTTTGAAAACTCTTCCATAGCCTAGGGTGTCTCTCCTCCGTGGTTTTTCCATTATTTCAGAAAGGAAGAAGAAAATTAAATGCAACCAATATTCCGACTACAGCATACTTGACTGTCTCAGTACCAGAGTACACTTTCTGCTTTTTGATTACTTCACAATTTAAAAAAAGTCCGCATTCTTACCTGAATTAACACATCTCTTATCTAATTTGTGATTACTGTACCTGGAGTTGTAAAGCTGAATCAGAGTCAGGATAAATTCGACGGGCCAATCCTTTATTTTCCAGTGCCATCTTCTCCAAGAAGTTGTAATCAACACCATAACCAAAACCAAGATTGTATAAAGTATATTTTCCTTCAATGGCTTTTTTCACATGTGTCTGAATGTCCTGAGTATTTGATATGCCTACATTAAACAAGAAAAAAAGGTTGAGTTTCTTCATAAATAGATAAAAGGAAATGTGGTTAGTGGTGTTTGGATTCTTAAGAGACATTCTCAAAGACTTGTTTGGTCATATGATGCTGGTGTAGTAGCATTTCAATCATGAAAAAGAAAAAAGCAGAAGCCAAAGATGACGGCCTATTTTAATTGAGTGATTTTTGTTAGTTAATTCACTCTGGTATTTCACCCAACACAAACTTACCTACATTTGGTTGGCCATCTGTTAACATGATAATTATTGAAGCACTTCTCTTGGGAACAAGGTTTCCTTCATGAGCAGCATTCAGCATATCAATTCCTTTCATTATACCACCATATAAATTTGTCACTGTAAGGTAGACATAGAAATCTGGTTTTAACACAGTCAAAATAATGGACTATGTTTCATGGGAATCTGAGAAAGCCCGATTATAGTAATGACAATGAAAAGTTTGAGCTTGCTAGCTAGGGGATGTTTAGATACAAAAATAACTGAGCTTTGCAAACATAAGGATAAAAACATCTGTCATCTGTTGCATCAATCTTAAGTTTAGTAGTGTCCCATTAGTAATTTTTAAAGTGGTAGCATTTGTTCACAGACTGAATTGGAGAATTAACACACTCAACAAAGTCAAGTACTCACAGCCTTCAGTATCAATGCCCCGAACAAACTTTCTTGCTTCATCCAAATTTTCAGGAGTGGCTTTGATTAATGTTTCCTTCCAGGTGTGTACATTGCTACCAAACAGTATGAAATTGAAGTGGTCATCTTCTTTAATATCATCTAAGATTTTTAGAAGTGCTTCTCTTGTCTGTAAGAAGAAGAAATTTAAATTAATTGTTCAACTTTAAAGAATGGATGCTTGCAGCTTTTACATAACTAATCTCTCCAGTGCTTTTTTCTTTTGTTCCTTTCATAACGGGAATTGTGCAAATAATTCTCAGCTTGTTCCATCCTTCCTATTCCTGTGTCTACTTCAAAGTAACTCTAATGAAGTTATCCAGTTGCAATTACATCTGGAAATTTTTTTTAGCTGAGAGGAAAATCAAATCTTACATCACAGATTGTTGGCATGGCAAAATTAAAATGCTGGAAAATAAGGTAGCTACAGGTTTGTGGAAAAGGTCACAAGCAAGTGTGCATATTTTAACACAGCACCAAAATTTTAAAGTTTTGACCATTAAATTAGATTAGAGTAGTCCCAACTACAAAAAGAGCTGTTCCCAAGAGGAGAGAGAATGAACAACATAGATAATGGACAGAGTACTATATATTTTTTTTTAATTTTGAAACTGGCCACATCTGAATGACCTCTCTGAAAATGTTGATATTCTGAAAGTTTTGAAATAATAACATGTCTAAGTAAGTAAAACATAGCCTAAATGTATAGAATTTTATTCTACAGCAAGACTTCAAGCTAATTTTTACAGTATTGAGAATTTGTGAAGCCATAGCATAAAAGCATCTGGTATAGCTTAGAATAATAGAATCATAGAATTGTTTGAGTTGGGAGGGATATTTAAAGATCATCCAGTACATCTCTCCTGCAATGAACAGGGGCATCTACAGCTAGATCAGTGCTCAGAGCTCCCTTGAACGTCTCCAAGGATGCAGCATCCAGCACAACTCTGGGTAATCTGTGCCAGTGCTCCAGCATCCTTATTGTAAAAAACTCCTTTTTACACCCAATCTAAATCTCCCCACTTTTAGTTTGAAACAATTTCCCCTTGTCCTGTCACAGCGGACCCTGCTAAAGAGTCTTCCGTCTTCTTTCTTACAGCTCCTTTGAAAACTGAAAGCTTGCTGTCAGATCTCCCCAGATCCTTCTGTTCTCCAGGCTGAACAGCCCCAGCTCTCAGCCTGTCCTAATAGAAGAGGTGCTCCATGGCTTAGATTATTTTGATGGCCCTCCTCTAGACACACTCCAAAATGTCCACATCTCTGTTTGAGTCCTACTGAGGACTCAATTTCTGGATGCAGTACTCACCAGCACAGAGTAGAGGGGCATGGTCACCTTCCTGACATGCTGATCATGCTGCTTTGGATGCAGTGCAGGATATGGTTGGTTTTCAGGGCTGTGAGGACACTCTGCTGGCTCATGTTCAGCTTGCCATTCACCAGCACCCCCAAGTCCTTTCCTTTATGGCTGTGCTCCATCCTTACACCCCCGAGTTTGTATTGGTAGTTTGGGTTGCCACAAGCCATGTGCGAGACCTTGCACTTGGATTTGTTGAACCTCATGAGGGTTGCCTGGGCCCACTGCTTGAGCTTGTCTAGGCCTCTTTGGATGGCCTCTCATCCCCTAGGCATGTTGACTGCACCACACAGCTTGGTGTCATCTGCAAACTGCTGAGAGTGCACTTGATCCCACTGTCAATGTTACTGAAGATGAAGATGTAGGAGTATGCCAGTCCCAGTAGACACCACTCATCACTAATCTCCATTTGGACATTTAGCTATAGACTACCACTCTCTACGAATGACCAGTTCCCCATTATTGAACAATCCACCCATCAAATCCATATCTGTCCAATTTAGAGATAAGGATGTTATGTGAGACCATGTCAAAGGCACCCTACGTCACCATGTCCTTTACATCATGACAGAGATCTTCCACTGAGACTTTAAAGTAATGTAATAACTTACCTGTTGTATTTCTCTTCCACTCATTGAGCCACTAATATCTATTATAAAAATAATGTTCTTGGGCAACTTTGGAAGATTTGTTGGTGCAAAGAAGTGCACAAAGTAGCCATTGACAATCTAAAAAAAAGGACATCAGATGCTAGCAAACCAATAGCTTTTGTGTATTACAAAGATACAATTGATAAAAAAGAAAGTACTTTGATTTAGTCTCTAGCCCCTGAGTAGGCTAACAAATCCTTACCAATCTCACCTCCACCCATGAGCCCAGGAGTGTTGTTTAAGTTCCAGCCTGTGCCTGCTTGACTTACACCTGTCTTTAGCAGTGTCACAACTATGCCTGCTCCCATCTGTCTGCAGACTGATTTGGAACCCACACTGTATTCTGACTTCACACCACAGCTTGCCTCATCCTGACAAATCTGCCTCATGATCTGGACTCTTGGTTGAATCTGAACACCATCTCTAGGTCTGCCTTACTTAAATATTCTGGGGACTGGACTCTTGGCTGGTGAGGTTGACCTGTCACAGTCAGCTTCCTGCCCTTTAGAGAACAATCTGACTTCACTACTCCCTAACATTTATCTGTGAAAGATAAGCCCATTCAACAGTGCAAATCTGCCAGCTATTTATCTGCAAAATTACCTGCAGATTATCTGGAGTTGTTCTCTTTACATCGTATTTAACAATAAAATCTCCATCCAAGAGTGACTGTGAGCAATTTTCACAGGTTCGTTGTTGATCAAGAGTTGGCTTGAAAGAGATATGCCCCTGAAAAGAAGAAACTTCTTTAGATCTGAATCTTAATAGCTGAAAACTTTCTACAGAACACAAATAAGTCTGTAAGTTTGTAAAGCTTGTATATTTAGATTCACAGACATAAGGATGACCTGTTTTATACAGTTAGGTATTAGTATATTTGTATATTTGTATATTTGTATATTTGTATATTTGTATATTTGTATAAATAACTAATAGCTCAGGTTTGCTGCCTAGCTCTCTCTTCAGATGTTTTCTTCCTCATCTTCCTTGGTTCCATCTTCCTTCCAGCCCTTCACTCCAAATGATACTTTTGGTAAGCATGTTGAGCAGTCTGTGTGTTAGGACTTCTACCACTTTCATACATGAGAAAACTATTTGTTACTGACTCCATTCTTCCACAGGAAATAGTCCAGTTGGTATCCAAGCTTCCAAGTATTGTTGTGGAACAAAGGTGCAGTTCCATGCTAATAGATGCAAGTGTCTTTCCAACTGCATGGTGATGGCCTTCAGCTTCCTAGCTTGGAATTCAGAGTTAATTTGCACAGAGAAGTCTTTATTTACTCTATTTTTAGCCTCTCACTTTCATTGCTAGTAACTACAGCACTTTTACATAGTAAATAAAATATGGAAGGTGTTACTGTACCTTTTTATGTGAGAAAGTTTTCTTTATGACATTTTGCAGATCATTGGTGATGAATGTTCCTTCTGCTTCCAGCTCACTGATACCTTGTGGCTCAAAGATATTTACTTCGATCTGAAATGTGAATTGAAAATTGTTTTTATTGGCTATCCCACAGTATATCAATTTAGACATTTACAGGAGGATCTGAAGGAAATGAAGGATATGAAGAAGGGATTTTCTTAAAAGAAAAACAAGTTTACATTTGTAATTAATAACAGCAGTCCAACGTATCTTTTTCTACATAGAACTTAAAAAAACAAATTAGAAACAAATAAAGCTCTATAGAAATGATTAGTAAAATGGTTAGTTAGTGGAATTTTGTCAAATGTCAAATAAATACCTAGGTTCTTCAAAAATATAATCCAGTCATCAGCTGAGAGCCATGGCCAACTTTGATGTTTGCCTTTTATCTTAGTATGTTTGAAATAATGCTTTATAAACATACAGATACTGAGTTTTGTAATGATTTTACACAACATGTGATGGGTAAAGCTGAGTTTTAACAAAGCAGATAGAAGTGATCAAAGACAAGTTTTAGCACAGAAAAGCCACAGTGTTCTAGAATGCAATATATGTATCACTGTAATTTAGCATGACATATTTTTACAGTGATCTGAGAAAGACATATTTTTATAGTGATGCTATGAAGGCATTTATAAAAGCTATTTTGCTCCAAAATATCTTAATAGCTTTTCAGTTTTCTGTATGGCACTTCTTTTGGAGGCTTACTAGCTGAGCTAGTTCAGAAGCCTAGAAATCAAAATCTGCAGTAAACGCTTCTAATGAACCCCACATGGTTCATTAGAAATGTTATGGGGGCCTTTAATTCAGCTGTAGGCCAGTGGGAATGACCATGGTACTCCACTTGCTACATATGTACAGAATCTCATGATCTCTTAAGCTGCAGAATTAAATTTGACATCTACCTCAAAATCTTTGACAAGCTGCTTCGGTTTTACTTTGATGAACATCTCATATTTTCCAAATTGTCTCTTCAGTAGTTCTTCATATATGAGTTCAAAAGTGACTTTACTGCCTGCTGCAATGTTGACTGAAACAGTGAATTTTTCTGTTTTCCTTCCCGAAGCCCTATGTTTAAGTGGGTAAGAAAAAAATTATCCTCTTTCACAATATTTCTTGCTTGGATTTGGTTGCTGCAGTACAATTTTCAAAAAGAAGTAACACAAAGATGGGAATTTTGATCAGTTGCTAAAGTCATAGTCAAACAGTATAGAGTTTATTCAAGTTTTCCTAGGAGCTTTATCCCAGAACTGGATATGCATATTAAGTGAAAGATGCAGAAACTTTCTTTTCTTAACAGCAGATACTACTTGCCAGAAATTGTATTTCCTTCTTTATAATTTATGCTAAAATAACTCTAAATTAATGATATTTGTACTTTGATCCTATAAGAAAACAAATTTCAGAATATATGCCAGAGCAAGATATTATGAATCTCACAATTTCCTACAGATTAACGGCAGGGAGGCCACACCAGATATCATTCTTACTTGACAAGACCAGCAGTCTGTCCTGCTGAAACAGCTTTCTCATACTGCCGCTTGGCAGCTTCTTTTTCTTTTATATTTCCAGGATAAGTGATGCCATCAATTGTCCTGTGGGTGAAAAAGTGCCTTATTTAGCTGATTGGTTTGCACTGACACATGAAAAGTTATTATAGGCATATATTATGTAATTGTATAATATATAATCTGTTTATTAATTGGTTTGCTCAAGAGCATTTTCAGGAACCTGCAATTGCCAAGATTTGAGCACAAGCAATGAAGCACAAATGAACAAGTCTTTCCAGGGGCTTTACCTGGAATGAAGAGCTCTGTGCTTAGCACTGAAGAGAATCTGAAATATTTTTTTCCTTGAAAATGAATTAGATCAAAACTAGGCTGATAGCAACACACCTTGCACCTGCACTTTAGCAGCTTGATCGTCTCGTCTTGTCTTGTCTCATCTCATCCCATCTCATCTCATCTCATCTATCTCATCTCATCTATCTCATCTCATCTCATCTCATCTCACAGCAGGATGACTCTTTGGATGAGACTCATCTGTCCAAATGCAGGTGTCTAGGGCTGAAAATTTCATCCATAGACTACTCATACCAATAAGCAAGCATTTTTCACAGGAGATGAATCTCATCCTAAAATAAAAGTTCTAGCTTGACTTAGAGCAATTGTACCCTAGAAGCATCTGTTTCTTTTCACTGAAAATAACACAGGGCTAGTGTGATTAGCTAAGATGAACACTTTTAAGCTGAAACCTAATAAAAGTGTGAAAATAGCATATTACTGCATCTGAAGATACAAATTTAAGGAATAATTTCCTCTATTTCCTATCTCTCAATTGAACACTATTTCAAAATGAAGAAAGAAATTAAGTTGTAATGCCAATTACAGTAATGGAATGCCAATTAAGTGATGGAACTTTTGGGGTTTGATAACAGCAGCGTAAAATAAGTGATATTTCTGAAAAGGTGAGTGTATCCATGGAGAGGATCTCCAATTCCCCAAGGTCCATGATAACAAAGAGACATAACTGAATCATATCAGACACTTTCTCTATAGATGTACCAATGTTTGCCTACCTCCAGGTATCTTGCATGTGAAGTTAACAGTATCAGAAAATTACTCACTCTATCAAACAGCGAATTAAAATTGAACATTTTTGGTTTGGCTACTCTAAGAAAATTATAAAATTTACACACATGCTGAAGTTGGTAATGAAGGCTGTCTTAGGGAGCTCGACATCGAAGAAGACTTCTTTGTGTGCATTTCCATGATTGACGGCTCGACTGGTGATGACATTGTGGGCAAATCGGGAAGTTACTTTACTATCAATTTTCATTTTATATATTTCTATCCCGTTGACAACCTGTACATTGAAAATGAAAGAACAGAGCTAGCTGTTATACTGATGTCTGTATTAATCAGCCATGATTTTATAGAAAGAAAGTACAGCAGGAGATTCTATCATTCCAAAGTGAAACAGGAAGATCTAATCATAAGACCTGGAGCATAGCAGTGTTTCCTTGGGTGTCTACAGAACTGACACAGTTATTTCTATTAGTCATAACTACAGCCCTTTTAACAAAATGCTACCACCTTGGCAAAGATGATGCCACTGTAAGAACTGCTTTTTCTCTCCACTGAGACTGAGACTTTTGTAGTCAGCACAAACAATATGCTGCAGCCTCACTGCACTCCCAGAGCAGGGATGGAAGGAGTCATCTTGTATAAAAATAGATCTAACCAATTCCGGATGGGTTTCAAATTCCATTTTATTATCCTCAGTTTCTTCACAACTGAGGCTCATTCCTGTTTAAGAAATGAAATGAGTTGGGCATGACTTGTTTGTTTTGAATGCTCAGGAGTAAGGTTACTGGAGACTGCAGGAAAACATAGGTAACAGCACATGTGCCTCTCTAGGCAGCTTTGCAGTAACAAGATCTGATTGCAACATAATCAGCAGTGGAAAGAAGCTTGTGATTTTTGTGCTCAGCCTGATCTCTGGTGACTTATTAAGAAGTTCTCTCCCCCATATCAAAACATATTAAGCATTGCTGAAGTAGCATCCAGGTGCCAAGTGGAATCAGCCTCAGAGATGCAGACTCTTGACTTCCTTAGAAATAACTACAAACAGTGTTAGAGACACTGCTATTTATTAAAATACAACATGAGGTTGAAAATTATTTGTTCACACTCTTTCCCTATGTAAGACTCCCTGTCTGAGCTTTGAAAAGTACAGGCTTGTTAGTCTTACTGCCTGAACCAAGCAGCTCATGTCTCACACAGCCAGGAATGTCCGTTTGCTCAGACTGGACTCAGAGAAAACTTCTGCGAAGAATATTCTTGTCACTAACAATCTTTAGCCATACCCTGATCAGAACCAAGCCTTCATGTAAGAGAAGACTACTCACCCAGTCATTATCAGAATTTCGCTTCTGTAAAGAGAAAAAAAAAGGAAAAAAGAATCATGACTAAGGTAGGAAAGCTGCATTTAGACATCTTCTTGGGAATGTCTGTTTTCAGGTCTTTTGGTATGTATTTTGTCTTTTCCAACTAATTTTCCTTTGGGAGATAAATGGATTTTATATCAAAGCTTACAAAATGGTTTGCATACTCATTGCAGTCACAAACCCCTCCAATCATCAAGCAGACTGATCTAAAGATCTGCTTTTAACCCGTTCCACCCCACCAGCCTCTCACTCTAACAGTAACACATAAGATGGCAATTCAGCAGGCTCACAGAGAGGAGAGGGAGCATATTCTGAAAGGCTGCATGGAGGGAAAAAAGAAAGTTGCTGGGACTTTTTTTTTTTATTTGCTCATTCTCAGAATGAATGCAAATATCAGCAGCTCTACAAAAATACCACGTGCTCTCATGACCTGAAACAGAGAACAGGACTGAAACATACTTGGAAACTCATGTTAAGATAGTGTCTTGCATAACTCCATTCCCGTAATCTTGGTTGCAAATGCCTTATCTCATCTGGCTCCAAGGGCCTCATGGGTCACATTCTGTACAAGTTTTCTTTCCATGTTTGCATACCCACTGAACAGAGCAGTAAAGACACAGAGATATCAGATCAGATACATATTTTGGGCACATTTATGGGTTTTGTTAATTTAGGAGTTCTAGAGGCTGGAAACAGAGACACAGAAGACTGGTGGTTTTTTTTTCTTTTTTCTTTTTTCCCCAGGACTTTATATAAAGTCAGTGCTAATGCAGGGATTTGGAGAAAGCTTCTCAAGTTCTATAAGAGTCTGGCAATTCATATTTCAAACTGCTATTGCCACACAGGTGATTTCTGCACGTACATCTCCCAGGCTTCACAAACTGATGTGGGCTTTTTTAATGCCTGTGTTGAGTACCCACCACTTCAAATCCTTCCTTTACAAAATCTATCTTTTCTGTATCTATACTCTCATTATAATCAATCATTTAATCTTATTAAAAAAAAAAAAAAAAAACCAACCACAAACCAAAGTATGGACCTTAGAAACAAAAAAATTAAAGTATCTGAAAAGTCTGCTTGTTTTATAACTTTTTCCTAAAGATTACAAACATGTGTTACATTTTAGCTACAAATTCTGCAATTCTGACTACTACTATCTAAACTAACACTTCACATGCATTTAATTTTTCCTGAATTGCTGATGTGAACATTCTTTAGCAAAATTATGGGTTCTACAGTAGTTTTGAAAGAGTTCTGCTCTGATTCTGTAAATATTTTTAATGCTATGCTGTCATTGTCCCCGAAAAAGCAAATAGAGGAAAATCTTTCAGTGAAAGGTATTGGTGGCTTTGTACTTGGGCGGATCTTGGGCAGAGATACTCAGCCCCAAATAGACATCATTCTGCCTGCTTTAACAGAGCCTGATTGACATGGGGTCAGGTTAGATGGTTCTGCTGTTTTGTGATTTTTGTTCTTAATGATTCACTTAGATGTAAGGCCAGAGATCTCACTTATGCTCATGTCATTTTGAGCTCTGTGGGCAGAAAATGATAACATCCCATTGAAGAAAATGTTATGCAATTCTGAAAGAAATGAGATTTCCCTAACTTGTGTAGTTACAGTTAGAAGTTACATTTACAATGTTTCCAAGTATTTCCACAGTTTTGCCAGTAGCACAAACTATTCGAAAGTTTTTCTCTTAGTTACATAACAGTGATATTCATTCTTCTTTTGTATAATGCTCTGTCATGGCAACAGCAAAAAATACAGATGCAAAATATCTACTGAAACTGAAAAGGAGAGGAAAAAAGAAATTTGAACTCCCAAGAATAAAGGGTGGGGAAAGAGGGAGCCCATTACAGTACTTACTGAAAGAAACCTTGATTTTATAGTTTGGGAAACTAAAATACAGCATGACTAAGAGATACATCAAAGACTGTACAGTTAATTTGAAGTGACCTAAGGTTGAACAACATATTTATGTAAACCTCTATGTACTGCATAGAAAAAATAAGGCATAAAAAATTATTTTCAAATCAACAACAACATTAAAGGTTCCATCATCGCAGGTGATGCTAATTGGAAATCACAGAAAAGAGAGAATGGCTCAACTAAGTTATGCTAAACTGAAACTTGCTTATGACCTACACGGGAGTCTTGCAGCTGCCAGAAGAAAAGGGTCAGAGAAGGAAAGCTGAATCACTACGCATGCATTGAATGCTTTAAATAGTTTTATTTTCAGAAAAAAATATTCCACCCTTAATAGTTATGTGTATAGGAACAAGAAGTACAAAGGTACTTAGGCATCTTAGATTTGGGGTTGGTTTTGTTGTTTGTTTGTTTGTTTTTTCCTCAGTTTTCAGCAGACTTGGCTCTGTGAGTTGAGTTTATCTGACTGTAGCCTTAAAGGCAGCTTTGACAACTTGAAGGTCATCACTGATGCACCAGATAGACTTCCAGCCATCTTTAACCACCCATCACTGGTAAACTACCTGCTCAAAAGAGCTAGTACAGAGATTTGGACTGAGTCCATCACAACACACAGCAATCTTTTCCATTTCAATAAAATGACATTTGCAAAAAAATATATAGCATAAACTGGCAGAATCAAACATCTTTTCTGAAGTGCTCTGCATGAACACATGGAACATAGCACAGAGCCTTGGTCATCTTCTATTCAGGGAGGCTTTAGCATTGCAAGGCATAGGGAGAATTATGGTTAGTATAGAATTTGAGAGGAAAAAAAAAATACATTATATCTGGGATAAGTATGAGCTAAATAAGAATCTTTGGCATTTCTAATTTGCAGCTATAAATCTCAAGCTGATTTCAAAAAGTTAGATACATTATTATCCTGATTTTCAAAGAAAGAGTCTTGGCAAAGATGATAACTTCATCAGAAGAAACTGACTGTAAGTTGCTTTGCCCTGTTTACCCACTAACTGACAATACCCCCTGAAGAGATCTGCCCTCTGTAATTTTCATAGGATTTAACTACTGAGAGAGAGGAAAGCCATTTACTGAGTAGTGGTCTGCAATTAAATGAAGATAATTACTCAGAATATCAGGAAGCACTGCCTTACTCAGAGATCCATCAAAAACAGAATGTGGGACAAAGACATATTCCATGTTATGCTAACACAAATCTTTTGAGAAAAATCCTACTAAGCCACTTGGGCCACAGAAATGTTTATCAGGATGTCATGTTACATCCCTGTTATATTTCTTCTTTTTGGAGGCATCTTTCACTGTCACTGCCATTCAGGTGCTATAATGAGTTATATGGCAGCAATGAATCTTTTACACATCTGAATATGAAAGCTCTAACACATTTTACCATTATATAGAAATGACAGGGAAAACAGAGGAAAGTGATGTTTTAAAAAGAGAGATAGGAGAGCTTCTTCATAGCTGGTTCAAAACTGAGGCTGATTAAAGTTCCAGACCCAAGTCTGAGCTGGTGTTCCTTGATAATAGAGAAATCTCCTGGTGGCAGCACTGTATGAGCTCCCTGGAAAATGATGATAAATGGCAGGAAGTTAATCTATGAAGAATGGGAGCAGCACACAAGGTTGATTACTTACCTTAATGTTTCTGACATGTGTTACCAAAAAGTCTGATGATGCAAAGGCAGGAATCAATAATAAAATACAAAGCAATAGGTGGCTTTCCATTTTGGAAAAAAAGTAAGATTCTCATCTGAACGACACAAATAAATATACAATGCTTTGTTTACAGAGTGTTAATAAATAACCCTATGTAAAAAGCGGGATTAAGCATACAGAAAAAAATAAACACTGAATTTTGATTTGTATGATCTACAGAACATTGCTACGAAATATTTATGTCGAGTTGGAAGAATATTTCAGCCACGGATCTTCTATGTAATATCATCTGCAAACAGAACTCCAACAGCCATTTCTGTATTCTTTCTGATATCTTCTGAAAAGCTGTCACTGCCTCAGCTTCCAAAAAAGCTTCCGCTGCCACAGCTGCACCAAAGCTTGCAGTCTTGTAAACTCATTTATACTCCTATAAACTGCCTTTTATACCCCTGGGTGCCACTCAAATGACTGAGGTGTCAGTATTTGATGCATATCTTGGCTATCCCAGAAGCTTCATGTTTTCTGGTCATTTTGATGGCTGAAATTCAGGTCCTAGCTCACAGGTCTTACATCTCACACAATTCATATCCATTCAGCCTGCAGTGCCAGGCCCAGTTACTTTATTTGTTATCTCAACAGTGCCAAAATTCCTCATCTTTTAACTGGTTCCATCTCCTCCGCTGCTCGAAAACACCAAGTTCAGTGTCAGTGAGGTAAACCCTCAGTAATAAAACACTGGAGATAAACAGTAAGCTATGTCAAATTTCATTTTTTAAATTTATTTTGCATTGTCAAACACAAAATATAAAATTGACATGTGAAGATAATAAAATGGGACAGGTGAACGAATCAGCAGCGGGAAGCAGAGAAGCGCCGCGCTGCTCAGGCGCAGGGTTGGCTGTGCTTTCTACGTGCTCTGTGAGTTTTATTTCCCTTCCTTCTCCCCTGCTCCGAGACAAATGGCCACAAGTTGTACCACAGGAGGCTTTGGTTGGACATGAGGAAGAACTTTTTCTCTCAGACGGTGGTCAGGCACTGGAATGGCTGCACAGGGAGGTGGTGGAGTCGCCGTGCCTGGCAGTGTTCAAGAGGCGCCTGGATGAGGAGCTGCGAGATCTGGTTTAGTGCTTGTGGTAGCAGTGGGAGTGCGAAGACGGTTGGACTAGATGATCTTATAGGTCGTTTCCAACCTTGTGAATCTATGATTCTATGATTTTCAGTTTTCCCTGAAGCCAGCTTTCTGAGGCTTGGCAGGAACACGGCTTTGTCAACAAGGCTGGAGTTTTTTTAAGCAGCTCTTTGCTGTCTGAAGGTGACACGATGGCTTTGTTCAGCAGCTTGAGCAGCCCGGACGCCCTTCACACCACACGAGCAGCAGCCCGCGGACCGTCAGGCGCTGTTTTTCAGACGTCGGCTTTGTTTCTCGTGATGGCGGCGGCACTCGGCTTCGCACCTCCCTCAGGCGCCCTGCCCGCTCCTAACATGGCCGCTTCGCCCGCTTCCAAGATGGCGGCGCAGAGCTCGCACCATAGAGACGCACGGCGGGCCGCTCTGCGCGCCGCGCTCTCTGTGGCGGCGGAGAGCCGACGGCATCTCTATGGCAGCGGCCGCCGCGCTGCCGGGCGGGCGGCCCAGGGTGGCGGCAGCCGCCGCCGGGCGTTGAGGGAGCCCGCCGCGGGGCCGGCGGCGAGAGGATGCCCCTAGCCGCCTACTGCTTCCTGCGGGCCGTGGGCAAGGGCAGCTACGGGGAGGTGAGCCTGGTGCGGCATCGGCAGGACGGCAAGCAGGTAGCGAGGGGCTGAGGTGGGGAGGGGAGCGGGTCGGCCGGGGCCTGGCTGCGGGGGCCCGGAGGTAAAGCCGTGCGTGGCTGCGATGGCAGCACGAGCGCCTGCAGGCCGCTTAACCGCGGTGCGCAGTCCGGTGTTGTGCTGTCCTAAAAGTAAACAGCTCCGGGATGGGGGGACTTTCTGCCCTACGCAGCTCCCTGGATGTCACCGCTTTCTGTGCAGGTCGTTAGCGCTGGCGAGGATCTCGATCCTTATCGTTTCTGTTTTAACTTAAATATTTGATGTATTGGCCTGCGTCTTATCTCTTGCCAACTTTTATGAGCGCTTGAGTGGGATGAGCAGGATTTTTGGTTGTGGCTTTTGGAGATTGCTGTGTGTTCTGCAAAAGAAACTGTATTTTAAGGATATTTGCTGCCAGAGTAATGTTTTGTTTTGTTTTGTTTTATGGGGGTCATGTGGCTTAAGTGTTTAAAATGAAAAAAATTTGCACAACAGAGAGCAGAAGAGCATTACTTCATGGGAATCTTGCCACAGTAGCGTGTTCACTAAACCAAGTGTAAGCAGTGTTGGGGTTCAAATTAGGCTCTATGTGCCTCTATTTTGCATTCTGGTTGTACTGACTAATACTGAAATAAAACTATAAGCTGTTGGTTTCCATGCCCAAATACCACTGAGGCAATAGAAGAGGGCAAGTCAGGAAATACTTCAAAGGAAATATGAATTATCCTCAAAGAAGACAACAAGGCCAGCTGCCCAGCTGAAGTGCCTCTATGCCAATACAGCCAGCTTGGGAAACAAACTGGAGGAGCTGGAAGCCACTGTGCTACTAGAAAGCCACGATGTAGTCACTGAAACCTGGTGGCATGATTCCCACGACTGGAGTGTGGCTGTTGACAGCTACAAGCTGTTTAGAAGCTACAGGTGAGGAAGGTGGGGTGCAGGCATTGCCCTGTGCATCGATAAAAGAACAGTGTGAAGAGCTGTCCGTGAAGAACGGCCATGAGCAAGCTGAAAGCCTATGGGTGAGTTAGAGACTGAGACAGAAAAGGGAGCCTTGTGGGTGGGGCCTGATGGAACAGAGCTTATTGATGAAGCCTTCTTCCTCCAGCTACAAGAGACATTGTGTTCACAGGCTCTCATCCTGCTGGAAGACTTAAGCCATGATATCTGCTGGAAAAGTAGCATGGCGAGCTGTAGGCAATCCAGGAGGCTTCTGGAATGCACTGAGACAACTTCCTGAGTCAAATAATAGATGGCCCCACCATGGAGGATGCAATACAGAATCTGTTGCTCACCAGTGTGAGTGAATTGATTGGAGGCGTCAGGATTGGACACAAGCTGTAGTGACACAAGCTCTCCATCCCCAGGTGTAGACCATCAGGAAAGAAAAGGCAAGAGACTGGCAAAGCAGAACCAGGGTCTGCTGGGCAAACCAGAGAGCAAGAAGAAAATGCACAGGCAGTAGAAACAGGGACTGGTACTATGGGAGTATAGGGATGCTGCTAGGCTGTGCAGGGATGTAGAGAAGAAGACAAGGTTCAACTGGAACTGGTTGTAGTAAGGAGTGCCAAGGAGAGCAAGAAAGGCTTGTATCTCAACTAGAAAAGTTGGTCCAAGAAGGCATACCTCCACTAGTGAGTAATACAGGCAGGCGAGGGGAAAGGTGAGGTATTCAACAGCTTTTTTGCATCAGTCACTGGCAACTTCACAGAGCCCTTGAGGGGGAATGGGTTGGAAGGTGGGGATGTGGGGAGTCCTCAGCACGGGAGAAGTCATGGATCTGCTGTGGCATGTCCAGAGGAGGGCCAGAGGGCCACAAAAATGATCCAAGGGATGGAACACCTCCCTTCAAGGACAGGCTGAGAGCTGGGGCTGTGCAGCATGGGGAAGAGAAGGCTGCAGGGAGAGCTGAGAGCGGCCTGTCAGCATCTGAAAGGGCTCTAAGAAAGGACAGACTCTTTAGCAGAGTCCATTTGACAGAACGGGGAGAAATGGTTTCAAACTGAAAGAGGAGAGATTTAGATTGAGTATAAGGAAAACCTTTTTGCAGCAGGTTGCCCATAGAGGTGGTGGTGCCCCATCCCTGGAGACAGTCAAGGCCAGGCTGGACAGGTCAAGCTATAGATGTGCCTGATTGCAGGGCAGTTGGATCAGATGGCCTGTAATGATCCCTTCCAACTAAAAGAATTCTGTGATTGTAGTTGATTAGGCATATAGAACACAGTAGCTACAGTATTTCTATTTTATTTCAAATGCAGATGATGCTGCACACAGTTTTGTTGTGTTTCCCATGGGAGCTCTGTGACACTGGTTATTAAAACTGAAGAGCTTTTCTAATATGCAGCAGACTTTTGAAACAAAACCATGCTCAGAGTCGTGAGGTACATTTGCTTTCTGCATCATTGATTCCCATGGTATATTAGGGGCAGTTTTCCTCAACACTAATTAAATGTGCTGAATTAAATTAATAGGGCCAGCCTGGGAATTAGATAACCATACAATTGCCAAGGACAGTGAAATTGAGTAAGGATTGTTTTAATGGTTTTGAATGAAAAACTCTCAGATAAGAGTGGAGTCAGATGTGTACCATGACATGGCTCTTCCATGGAAAGCTGCTCCCTTAGAAGTGATTGCCTCAAAATTTACATCCATGAAGGACTGACCCTAAATATTGCTGCTCTGTATGTTGAGCACAGGCTCCATATGTGCTCCATGTTTTCTTGTCTCGTTTGGCTTCAGTGATGTTTTTCCTAAAATCTGAAATTCTTTAGGAAGTATGTTTGTTGTGGTATATATGAGGGAGAATAACAGCTTTCAAGTGTAACTTTAAAAAAAATAAATTTATACTAACAGTAAAACATATTTAGAGTATGGGGTGGAGACCTTTTGGCTTTCAGTGTGACCAAGAGGCTCTGCTTCACTCTGATTCATTTCTTCTTGCATAGCCTTAAACCTGCATGTATAGAACCTCTTAACTGCAGCAGATACATTTTAGGGTGAAGTTGAAGATGTTTTTGAAGGAGTGTAAATGACATCTGCTTTCAGCTTTTGGGGAAAATACTTTTGGCAGCCCTCCAACTGCTTCTCTGCTTGCACCATTTCTTTCCCAATGGAAGCCTGTTTTCTTCCATGATTAACTACTTTGGAGGCTTTTTGTACAGAACAGTCCTAAATCAGTTCTGTTTGATGGCTATGCTGCCAGGTGCTGGTTTTTTGTTTGGTGCTTTCTTGTTAGGGCTGTTTGTTTTGCTTTGAAGGAAAGGCTAAACAGATCCAAAAAGCTTAGCTGTGTTATTTTGTGCATTCAGAAGTTCAGCTCTTTTAGATACTTCCTGTGGATATGAAAATGTGGAATCCAAGCTTTGAAATAGAGATTTTTATCAACTTCTTTTAAATTTTATTTTGAAACCGTGATCTGTATTCAGGTGAATTTTATTCTAAACATTCATTGTTGTTTTTCTGATACAACTGAATGCTTTCCTTAGTGTTATATTATTTATTTATTGTAGAAATATTACTATCAAAATGACCCCTTTAGAAGTAACTGTGATGCACTGGAAGACATTTCTGGTTTAAGAGATTAATGATACACACGTTTCTAAATGAAAAGAAAAAGATAATAAATATGAACATAGTCAAAACAAAGCAAAGTGCCCCAGAATTCCTGTGCAGTGTCATTCAGGTAGACTAATAACAGCTACACCTGTTTCCCTTCCCTTCCCTTCCCCTGTATAACTGCTAAGAAATTGCCATTTCCATACAGAATAATGTATGGAGATTTCCATTACTGTTTCCTTTAGATTTGAGTCATTTCCTAGAGCTTCTATGTAGTAACTTTCTTCTCTGATGATATACCTTAGAATTTCTTTTACAGTATGTCATCAAAAAGTTAAACCTTAAGCATGCTTCCAGCCGAGAGAGGAAGGCAGCAGAGCAAGAGGCACAGCTGCTGTCCCAGCTGAAACACCCCAACATAGTCGCCTACAGAGAATCCTGGCAGGGGGAAGATGGGCTGCTGTATATCGTTATGGGCTTCTGCGAAGGAGGAGACCTGTATCACAGACTCAAAGAGCAGAAGGGCAAACTTCTGCCAGAAAATCAGGTGGTAGAATGGTTTGTCCAGATTGCCATGGCATTGCAGGTAAAATAAAATGTAACTTTGTCATTTTGAAATAGAAATTTAATTTGTTTCTTTTTGCCTTTAGAATTCC